TGATATTTTTTTCATATTACTTTAAATACTTGAGCATTTGTGCCTAAACCATTAATAGAACTAATAGAATAAACATTCTCTTTTTGATGTGTTGCAGATTTGATTCTTTATACTAAAATTCCTACCTGAGCATTAGCTAGTGAGCAATTTCATAGGAGTAGTAACTGACCTCCACGTCTTCTTGAAAACTCTTTCCGCATTACGCTTGATTTCCGGCTGCGAAACTCCGGGCCCCTGAAATCATCTCTGCCATTGTCGACTGCTTCAGGCCTGACCAGCACAGTGCCTGTGCAAACAAAAAGTAATCATACAGTTCCATCATTATTAAATATGAAATTAGAAAGCCAAAGCCAGTTACAGACTTGAAGATCCTGCATACCCTATAGGCACTCCAGCACATTTACAATGACTTAATTTTGTTAACTTCATCATAAAGAAAAAAAAAAAAAAAAAAAACAACAACAACAACAACAACATGCAGATATAAACGTGAAGTCTATCAACGATATACTCTGAATGAAACACTAGCCCACTTTCTAGGAAAATGTTATGATGGTGTATAAATAATTATGTTTAGTGTCAAAGTAGCAGTGTGTGTGCAGTCAACAACCTTACGACCTACCTTTAGGCAATCTAGTGATATCAAGGTGACCATTTGCATTAACTGGTCCAAGAACCAAGTCCTCACTTGCATTTGAGTCCCCGGATTCATCCAATCCAGAGTGCTTCATGACAACTGAGGGTTTTCTGTAACATCAGTTAAAGAGAAATGAGCTATATTTAACAAAGTTTAAAAACCTACATGGACAGCAAAAAAGGAGATGATGCACACCACAAATTTTGTGGTTGAAATACTTTTAAACACACAATAAACTCACCGCCTCGAGTACTTGCCATCAGCACCAGCCTGCAAAACGAGACGGTTTGTTTATTTAGGCTGATGGTCATCATGGCTTTGTGTTGAAAAGTATCCCAAAGGGAAATGCATTAAAACATTTTTCTGAGTCTGTGAGTCATTTGAATAGAGCATAAGGACATGACATAATTTTCATAATACTGAGCAAATATGTTTTACAGATACCTCCAACCTCCATACAGTTAGACTACTGCTCAGATGACAAAAATAACTGAGTATTTGAGAGAAATTGTGACACAAATTGTTAAGACTATCGCTATTCCTAATAAAACAGCAACAAAAACATGTAAGTGGATGAACCGGCTCTATGATTCTTTGATACAGACAATGTGTGTGAGGTGTACAAGAACAGAATTTAATCTACTTGACATTTTATACGCTTTAGTTATCCACTTGACAAATATTTGTTATTTGTCTCTCTAGATTAGGTTGTAGATAGAGTCTGTGTTAATACATTTTGGAGAAGGGCTGTTGTTTTTACTAAATCCAGATAAAACCGTTAATGGCACCATTAGTGCCATCAGTGTTACGCAACATGACGAAACACTACAAACACACATACTACACTGACATGTGTTTATTATGCATGTTCACTTACCTCTGTCAAAGTAGAACAGCACCTGTTTGTCAAACCTGTGAACAAAAGATCAGTAAAAAATAAATTGGTAATGCATGTAAACGTGTTTCCATTAGTCATGGTTAGAGTGAGAAAAAGATGTACCATCAGCATCCTCAACTTTTGCTGTGCCACTGCTGTCCTCAGTGGAATTAGCCAAGTATTCATGAAGTTTGTTGACCAATACATTTAGCTTGCTGGTAGAGTTGCTGGACAGGAGAGGAAAAAAAGCAGGGCAGTGTTTATTTGATTAAACAAAACAATTCGGATTATACAGTGCTGTGGAAAAGTATTTGTCTGCTTTCTTAGCTCAGACAAAGATAACCAGAGTAAATACTAAATGTAGTTATTTAAATGATTATTTCATTTATTGAGGGGGAAAAAGCTATCCGAACCTACTTTGACCTACATGAAAAAAAAAAAACTGCCCTTTAAACCTAGTAACTGCTTTTGCCACTGTTGGCATCAAGAACTGAAATAAAGCATTTGTGATAACTGGTAAATAGTTTTCCACATCGCTTTGGAGGAAATTTGGCTCAGGTTTCCTTGCAGAGTTGCTTTAATTCCGTGACATTGGCGGGTTTTTGAGCATGAATGACTGGTTTATGGTGATGCCTGTCTCAATCAAATGAACTAGGCCACTCCAAAACCTTCATTTTGGTCTTCTTGAAGCATTCACTGCCATTAGAAGTGGCTTTGTAACAACTTTTTCCAAAACTTGTTCGTTTATACCAGCTAAAAAGTTTACACTCACCTGATCAACATTAGAATTAGAAATAACTCACTTTCCTGATCGATGTAAATACCTCTCACATGAGACAAAAGCCCAACCTCAAATCTACAAGTAGAGCTAACTAGGTTAACATGGTATGAAGACTACTTTCTGATGCCCCCTTATTTACAAGTGGTCAGCACAGCTTGTTTGGATTGGACAGACTTTTAAGCAACCACAAAGAGATCAGATTCTGCTCCCGGGAGTGTACTATAAATCACTGCACTCCTTTGAGTTCAAATTATGAGCCAGCTTATGTACGTTACGTTCAGCTCCTCCAAAGTTAGCTAAGAAAAGGCTTCTAGAACTGTTTACGAAAAGCCACGTTTTTCGATTTATATAGCCTAATGTGCTGTCCTACCTCCATTACTATTATGTTACTACTAAACTAAACTTGAACTGGCCCGAGTATTATTACCTATGCGGTCATTCTGGTCTAAATAACAGTTAGCTAACTCTGTTAGCAAGTGGCTAAGCTAGCTCGCCGTTATATTTGCTAGCAACGCTAAACAAGCGCACTGTAAACCGTCGGTTTTACCTCAGCGTCACTGCAGACATGTTGCGAAGCAGCTGAACAACCGAAGTCGTTCAAGTTTTTACACTTTCATAGCACAAAATAATGTGGCGCTTAATCTATGATCCACATCACATCCCACACATCCGTTAATGATAACAACTGAACCGCCCGTCAATGGATCTATTTCGCCTCTTTTTTCCCCTCTTTTTTAATGCGTACGAGTGAGCTGTCGCTCATTATCGCCATCTGCTGCCATGGCGTGTGCATGCTCCGTTGTGTTGTTTTCTACGGTTGTATTGCATGGCTTCTCCCTTTGGGATCAGGTTCCAGCCCCCCTTCCCTCCAAAACCACCTCAGAGAACCTGAATTGGATGAGCGTAAGAAAATGGATGAATGGATGGAAGGATTTAGGTGAATTTGAGTGAGTAATGCTCATTTTCAGCCATTTTTAAATTACTCTCCAGCTCATGTTTTTCAGTTTTCTAACAAAAAGTTATTAAATCTTCCCATAGGGAGTAGTCTGTCTGTCTATCTGTCTGTCTGTGGCTGACAGACAGACAGCCACACACACACACGCACACACACAAAAATGCCAAAGAATGTATTTTAGCTTTAAGTTAGAACAATTGTATGTTTTAATTTTACTTTCCTGAAAATAGTTCAATAGTTCCCGCAATTTCTGTTAGTCATTTGTTGGACAACTCTGTAATAGACATCAAAGCCAGATCATATATATGATAATATGTTTTAAGGGACAACAACAGCACTAACCCTGAAGGTCATTTTTCTGTACTCCAAACTTTATGAAAGGAGTAACTTAATTTATGACTTTGCTGAAAGTTGCTGAAAGCATGCCTTATATTTTTTAACGCAGCTGTAAATGTCTTTTAAAAAACATGATGGGATTCCAGAGCTGTAAACTTTGTGTGAACCTTCTGGTTTTTATGTACTTGTTTGCTTCAACAACAGATCTTTCTTGTTATTTAACACATAAATTACATGTTATCTTCCCTGTTAGTATTCTGAGTAGTCTATGTAGTCTGTAAAATACCAGTAAAATGCCTAGTGCCCACACAGTCCCATTTTATAACACTGTCTGTCCCACATACTTTTCAAGTTACAGATCACATCTGCTTCTGATCTACTCACATCATTCCCTTCCACCTGAAGACAATAGGTAAAATAAAGCGTGGAAGATATTTAAATTTCATATTACTTGTTATTTTTCTGAAAAAAATCAGCCATTGTTAAATCTGTTTTCACTGTTATCTTAAAGATTACATTTGACAACCTCCAAATGATGAGTTTTGATACCTCAGCATTTATCAATAAAGGTTTTGGTTTAAAGACCATCAGAACAGGGTTTTTTGAAGGTTATCCCTTGTAATCTATGCAGGAAGAAAATGAGATCTCTAACTTCTGATCCTCAATTCAGAAAAGAGAAATAAGGTTTACCCCTAGGTCCAAGGGGAAAACAGTTAAATGTGCAGCACAACTGAAGGTTTTCACCTGTCATATAATGTTGTTTTGTATTCATTGTGAAAACCTCACCTTAAAGAGCGACAATGACTTGGAAAACCACGCTGGTGGCAGTGGTTTAGACAGCAGACCAAATGTTTTTTTAAATTATAAGGTCAACAGTTTTATTTGTCTTCTATGAATTATGGATTCAGCTTGTAAATTTATCAGTGTTGTATAATAACTGTAGAGTTTTTAAGTCCTATTAGGAGTGTCCCTTAAGAGTGTTGTTGACCCACTATTGATCATCTGCCTAATCACACGAGCCAAGGTGTGAAAACAGGTGTGGGTCACTATCAACCGAGGTTTCAGGTGAACCCATTGTGAGACCTTGCCCAACCCTATCGTGTGACTTACTGCAATCAAATGACCTAAGATGTGAGTAGGCGATAAGGAGTCTGGGAGGGGGTGAAAGAAAATCTGGTACTCTCCACCATTTGCTCTTAGAACTGAAGAAGATTCTCAGATGAGAGGTGAGTACAGATGCTTTTCTTTCCAAGCTCCTAAGAAAGTGTAGGTAAATCAAAATACAAGAAAAACTCCCCACAATTTAAATATAAAGGGAAAACATAGTTAGATATACTTTGAAAACATTTTATGAGAATTTAAAAATACTACATTTTCAACTGAAAATATTGCTGAATATATACATATATTTGTGCACTTGAGATATGACATGCCTATAAAGAATGTAATTGATTTATTATTTCTATAATTGTTCTAATAAATCAAATTAAGTAAAAAAAATGTTTAATACAAAAAGACTTTTCACTGATGTATTTTATTTCAGTTTACATTTTTGGCATGGATAACCCTCCATAGAACGCACCGCCTGTTTGGTGACGTCACGAAGGGCGGGCGAGCATTCCTGCCGTCTACTTTTGTCTCTACGTGGAGGAGGTAGGACTGCAAACTGGACAGTGTCTGGAATTTAAGGCGCACTAACAGTAAGTACCAATTTCCTGACAAGTTCTAGACCAGCACCTACTTATAGATAGAGTTTATATCAGTTTTGCTTATCAAAACAACATCCTTTGTCCCAAGCTTTCCTCCCTGTTATCCTCTGTTTGTAGGGATGGGTTTGCTGGAGTAAGCAGGGGTAGTTTCCTGCCTATGAAACTTACATGTCTGTCGCTAGCCGGCTAGCTCTAGCTACACCTTGAATGTAGCTCGTTCATCATCTCTGAGCTGAACGAGTCTGAAAATGTTGAAATATTGCACTCTTTCACTCCTTAGTTATGACCACATAACTTTTGGAAAAAGTAACTACTGCTCAAAGACGTAGTATACATATACTAGTTTCATTGTGTAACTATGTATCACATTTATACACGAGGTTCACATTTCTAGTTATTTTTTATTTTTGTAGATGCGGGCTGTTTAGAAATTTTTGAATATGTAAAATCCTACAGGAAAAGTCAAGTTAGACAGAAGCAGGTTTGTTCCTTCATCACGCCGCCTCTCACCGGAGGAAGTATAGGTGGAGCCTGCACTATTTCTTTTAAGTAATTCTTTTTAATCTTCCCGCTCCACCAAGTTAGCATATAAAAACCACATACCAGAACACAATATCACAGTCTGTAAATAAATCTTGTGTAACACATCTCTCTGCTCAATGCTCTTTACTTTGCTGAGTGTTTCTCCTCTGTGTGTGTGTGTGTGTGTGTGTGTGTGTGTCTGTCTGTTTGTTTGTGGGTTATTTTCTGCAAAGGTCTGACTCTCCCACTTTTTGCCAATGAACTGTAAACGTCTATGACGCCTTTGCACTCAATGTGCAAGAGTTAGCGTAGCTGATCCTTGAAAAAGCATTGTTCTCATGTGGTCTGTGCTGGTAAGCCTGACAAATGTTTCCCAACCAAAATAAGGCAGCTTGCTTATGCACAAAGTGACTTTTTGTCTGTGTCTGTGTGTGGAAAACAGGGCTATATAAAAACGTGTACACCCCAGAGAGAGATACAACAGATTTCCCCGAGACCATCTGGAGCTGCAGCGCTCACTTACATCTGGGATTCCAATCCTGGATCGTTCTTAGGACACGGCTGATCAGCAAGGTCGGCTGATAATGTCAGAGAAGCCCGTATTTTAACTTTATAAATGTTGTGACTTTGAACATAAAGCGTGTTGTGAATACAGGGTCTGGCCTTCTCTAAAATCTTGTTTCACTTGTATGGCAGGATACGAGGATGCAGGAGACAAGAGGTGTTTAATTCATAAACATGATTAATACATTGTTAGCTGTTCTCGTAGTGTCAGCGCTAGTGAATGTGATGATTGCATTTCCTTTGTGGGGAAAGAAAAATGCTGGATGACATTTTAACTGTAACCTGACTGGCGTGGTTAGATTGCCCATGAATGTACTGGTATGTAGACTATGCTCCACAAAATAGCTGAGGTAAAGTGTAATTTTCCCTTGCTCATGCTGTGGAAGTATAAGAGCGCCTACTGTATGTGTTATTTAAAAGCACAGACATTACATGTGCACGCTGCTGTCTCTCCAACCAGACCTTGGAGACTGTGGATGGGTGGTGTATTTTTAAAAAACCTTGTGCTTCCAGCCAGGCTCACACCTGTGCGAGTGAACAGGTTTTCCCACTTTTTTCCACCATCAGGATCTATGGGAACGGTCACTTGTTCTGCAAGTCAGTAAAAGTGATCAGGTTACTCTTTAGTTGCACTTCTTTCTTTATTCAGAAACTCCTTTTTTTTTTTTTTTTTTTTTTTTAAATTGCGTGTGCTGATGGATGTTTCTGAACATTAAAACAATGCATTGCTATGCTAGAATGCCAAGTCATTTTAAATAAATCATGTGCCAACTTTAATTAATACTACACATCAAATGCACCAGAGGATATTAATGCAATGAGTCACTAATGTTTTCCATTTTTTTAAAGGCCCCAGCTTATTAACGTGGTTTTTGAAGCAATCGGATACAATGTCAGTGGTATTTTTTACGGTTGCTGTGCCTTTTGTAGTACTGTGAGTGTGCCATGCCTATAAAGGATAATGGTATGCAAGGTTTTTGTTGAGTAATAGCATAGGTGTAGGTGTGGCTGCTTACCTGTAGGAGTAACAAGCTGATTCAGCAGCACCTCTGTCTGTATGGACTCCCGTACTAGCCCCTTTTAGACTTCCTTCATCATTTAGTAAAGCTACATGCTTTCATTTGGCCAACAATGGTAGGCTATAGAGAGCAGATTGTAAAGGCTAGGTGGTTGCTGTCATTTCATTTGAATGTTTCCATGATGATTCACCACATGGCCTGGCTTTTAAGGCTTTTATAATATCACTTTAACCCAGCCCAGGGTGTTGCACTCGCAGCTGTACATGATGTCAAAGTAGAGTAAACTCAGCAAACAATTTGTTGTCATCACCTCCCTCCTTACCTGTCAGTACTGCCCTGCTGATCCCAACAGCCTGAACAGGAAATAAAGGGCTGGCCCTACAGACTGGCTTTCTGCTCATGAGTCATTTTCACATCTGCACAAGATTGTGAGTGTAAAAAACAAACAAAACAAAAAAAACAAAAACGTCCCATGTTCTTGCAGACCGTGTTGGGTGTGTGCTTATTGAACTTAACCACATTTGGGAAGGGTGCCCAATCTATTTGTGTGCCTCACATTTCCCACGTAACTGTGGATGAAACACTGGCGGGGCGGGGTGTGTCGCCTCAGCTCTGCACATTTAATTCAGCCATCTGGGAGCAGCCCTCGGCTTTAAATTGAGTGAAAGATTCA